TTGATGGCAGAAAGAGCTTCATCTTTTCTTGGAACAAACAGCATCGACCGATCCACGAACAGGCTCTGTTTCATCACTTTGATCCAAACAAGAAAGGACAACAGTTTGAACATAGGCCACCACCTACAAATCCACCCTCAAGGACAGAACCAAAATCGCGAGCAAATCTGAGAGAAAAGGAAAATTTACACACACTCAAACATTCCCAACAAAGTGATGAAGCCATATCTGCAGTAAAAACGATCAGAGAAATGCAAACAGGTACACAACGTAGCATAGAGACAGAGATCAGTAGTCGGAGAGATAGTTTTGGAGAAATACTATCTTCAACCTCTAGAGAAACCAAAGGTAAGGGTAGACCTTGATAAATTGTGAGGTTGTCACGAAATGAGAGAAAAAAAAATTCACCTGCCATGTATATTTCAGAGGGCAAATCACGCTTAATGCTGGTTCATAAATTCACGAATGACACTCTCTTTTCTGTTAAAATTCACGCGTTACATATTGATTTTGGCCTAATCACGCGTCACGTACAGGCCCCTTGCCTCTCTCTAGGAGAATGGTCAGATATTAGTTTTGAAAAGTTTTCTGTAAAGTTAAGCCTGCGATCACATGATATCAAACTATTCGTAAAACAGTCCGTCATATGTTTTGCTTGGTTCCATTGGCTACCTCCTTTATCCGCTTGTGTCAGACAAAAATCACGACTGAAATAAATCATTAATATATAATTTATAGCGAGAGATTATGTGCTGTTATTATAGGGCCGAGCTATGGGTAAACAAGCTCTCACAATTGAACGACACTAATTCATAATTACCTTCAACTAGGGATGTAAACTTGTTCAAGTCAGAATCGACTTAAAACTACGATAACTGCCATTTCGATACCATTCTCACCATCAAAAGGCGGAAAGAGATTATCTTTTAGCGATTAGAGATTATGTTTGACGTTTCTATCACTCATTGACAGAGGCAAATTTTTGTTGACCTCTGGTCTTGCCATCGTGCCTCGTGCGGTTATTAAAATGTTTTAAAAGTATGACCAACTGTATTTACCCTCTAGATCTGGTATTTCCCAGCTGTACCGTGCCACCTGAGTCCTTACGAGATCCGCTGCAAAAAGATTCAGACGGAACTCGTCCCATCCTTCAGCAATCAGTCGGAACCTCTGTGAAATCTACTCCAGACCATACTCATGATAAATCCTCAGAACTACACGGCTGTCATGGGAAGATTTTTCCAGATACCCCGCAGCCTGTACTGGCGACACAAATCTCGGTAAGCCCCCCTCCTGTTGTTCTATTGAGAGGTGTCGCTCGTTACGGGAAGATATCTGATGAATTAGGTGACCTTCAAGTTTGGGACCCTGAATACAAAGTTCAAGGTGATATTCAAGAGAAGCTGTTTCGAATGCGTAGAGATAGCCCTGTGACTGGAGTACGAATCATAAGGTACAGTGATGGCAGAACTGAGTGTCGCCTTCATCGAAATATAAAACCTCTTTCGCTAGACAGGGAAATAACGCTAGCTGCCGATGAAAAACTCGTATTAAAGACTCGTGTGCGCGAAGGAAAGGTCTCTTTTGAAGACGCCGATGTACAGTTTAAGTATGCAAATTTGTATATTCCTCAATACATTATCGATAGTTTTACAGAAAAGGATAATGGTAAACTAGTGTACATTATTTCAGATAGGGAAGACAAATTTCGAAGTGTAGCAAAACGTGAGGGTGTTTGCGTGAAAGCGAAAGAGGTTGGGGAGAAAGGGCTTTTCTTTTGTTTTCCCGGGAGTTTTTAGGGGTTTGCATTTTCTTTTTGTTTGACAAAGTCAACTTGATACCTAAGAAGGAATAACATCCATTTCCTAAAGTTACAGCTGTGGCTATCAGTTATGAATTTTCTTTTTGAAACTAATTACCAGATAATCAGATTTTTTTCTATGAAATGATCAGATATAATATCGCATAAATATAATGTTAATGTATTTACCTTTCTTCACAAAAGTATTTAGAATTTCGTAATTAGTCCACTCATTATAACATAGCCAAGAAATCATAGTAGTCTTCAACTTTCATTGAACTCGCTCATAGCCTCTTCCAGTTGTCCAGTCCGTGAAACTAAGCATGAGATAAATGGCGCGAAGGTTGCGGCTGAGCAAACTTGCGACTTGCGACTTGGCCCTTACAGATTGTGTATGTATACCTTTTGGCATGATCAGAAAAAAACGAGTACAATTTTTGCTCCTTTTTCAAAAAAAAGCACTGCAGCCTATTCAGCATATTTTAGTTGTTTTTTTTTTAATGGAACATAATCAGTCACGAAACGTGGTGCTAACATCGTAAATTTACATACATTAATTCACTGGAGTTTTTTGTCAGAACAAGGGTGCTTCTCCAAATGAAGTGAAATATCATGCTCTATTAACCTTAAATATATAATTTTAAGCAGAATTTTAAAACAATCGTGCAGTGCTAGTAGCATAACATGCTACTTTTGCTAGGACAGTAAATATATATTGCATATTGATTTACAGAAATAGAAGAGATAATAACGGCATAGGGTAAAATATGGACTGGACGATTTTTTTGGACTATTTTTTGGACGATTTTTTTGGACGATTTTTTTTGGACCATTTTATAAGGGGGGAGGCACACCTTTAGTACTGAGGGAGGGGTGGGTGCAGTCAAAAAGTACTGAGGGAGGGGTGGGGAAGAGTGTTATTACTCAGGGAGGGGTGGTAGGTGGTTGTAATTGTAAACACTNAAATGAAATGAAATATCATGCTCTATTAACCATAAATATATAATTTTAAGCATAATTTTGAAACAATCGTGCAGTGCTAGTAGCATAACATGCTACTTTTACTAGGACAGTAAATATATATTGCATATTGATTTACAGAAATAGAAGAGATAATAATCGGGTGATCGGTGGAATGGCGGATTATCTCAAGACGCAGAATGACGGAATATCCTTAAAGTGCAGAATGCCTTGTATGAAACAAAAGTCGCAAAAAATGGAATTGCATCATTATAAGAAAATTATTTACAATTAACAGGCGAAATTGAGAGATGCCTAGCCTCTTTGAATTTTATCATATTACTACTACATATAATTATTATTACTGCAGATAGTGTTATTATTTGTTACCATTTATTTATTGGTTGGATGTCAATTAGAAAACATATTCTTGAATCATCTTTCCCTTGTGGAACAGAGTACTCATAATTTAGTGGAATGGGGCAGATTTGCTGTCGGTTTTGCATTTGAGACAAATCTTCTGCAATACCACCTTCTAGCATCATTAAACAACTTCTGGCTCTTTTCAATACTCTAAAAATTGTGCTATACCATTGTGCTATAAAATTGTGCTATAGCCACATGTAGTCTTTGACCGTCTATTTTGTAGACAAATATATCAGTTAAATACCCCAGACAATAATTTTTCCGATTTCAATTTTTTAGAGTACAACAGCTGGATATAACGTAGTGCCAACATCTTGAAATAAAGTTCCTATGATACGAGATTCTTTTTTCCGTTTCCTACTTGATAGTTATCTAGTTTTCTTGCGCACTGAAAGAACGATTTGCCGGCAAAAACGATTGTTATATAGCTGTGACATGACATGTCGGCAGCTAAGGCGGAAGAAGGAGAAATTAAGAAGAGAGGACAAATGTGCTGCGTAGCCGGAGCGCTAAATGATGCTAGATGCTAGAATTATACTCATATACCGGGAATTTCTATTCACTTCCTTCCAAGGTATGAAAATTTATGGTCGGTATGCATAATTTTCGTTTGTCGACATGAAGCTAGAGGAGACTTACTGCTTCCGAGTCGTCGGCCTTACTAAATTTATCGTATCCAAGCGTCAATGCAGCCGAAATTTTCACTTACAACACCTATGTCAGTTATTTGCCAGTGAGCGGAATGGGACATGTGGTAATGTTGGGCTTAAACTACAAACGGTTTTCTTTATTGAAATTCCTATTTGGAGGCGAACTTGAACCTCTGCCTCTGCGATATCTGAGGAAAAGAGAAACTTGCAAAAAAAAAAANATTTTACTAGGCCTTAGTCAGTCTCCTCCGGCCTCCGTTTGATGCACACGGTTCACCTTTGTACGGCTAAACCGTACTCGCAACTTCCATTTCTTCGCTCTCACTGAGTATGATGTATCACAACTCTCAGAAGAGCTTGCTTCTGTTGATCTAAATGACTATTCTAGAGTATTTAAACGCTGGCGAAATGATTACAAAATTCTGATAGATGTGAGATTTGGAAGGGTCACCTCAGAGTTTTCTGCGTCATCACCATCTACAAATCCACTGGAAGACAAAGTAAGAGCAGTTTTGGGCCCGAGTTTTATTTATTTATTTTTTCTTTTTTTGTAAAAGGTTTCTACAAATGATGAGCTTGATAAGTGCGCAAAAAAAAAAACAAAACAAAACAAAAAACAAAAAAAAAAAAGAAATGGCTTCATAGGCATTAAAGGAAACCTCTGGCTTTTGGGACATACACTCAGGTATTAAACTCTTAGGAATACTTTTTCATCTTCTAATTCGTTATGAATGCAGGTACGTTTTGTGGTTCGCAGCCTCTCCTTCGCTGTTTTGAACCAGCTTCTTTATCCTGTACGCGAAAAATGACAAGAGAGAGACCCTGGGAACGATTTCAGACCATAATATGCTTTTTATAAAGAGTTTCTCGGAAATAGTCTACCACGTTCGTCTCCAGCAAATGATAGATGCTCAAAAAAAAAAAAAGACTTCGTTCCAGGTTCTAAGAGCAAGCGAAAGGAATGATGGCAGAGCCGCTAAAGATTCATCTTTTTAATTGTGATAGTATTTACGACTTAAACGTGGTCGAGGACTTATTGATATCCGCGAAATCGAAACTCGGCTTGGAATTCTCGGTAGAGAAGCATATATTTACTTTCAAATACCTGAGCTGAGCACCAAAATTATTCCCGAGATGCAGATGGATTTTGCAATGTTCTAGGTGCATGCACACGAATCTGGTTTGTGTATCAACCACAGGGACTTGGAACAAGGCTACACAAAGGTATACAGAGCTTTGTTGGAGGCAACAGGTAATTCAGTGGTAATAATTGGTTTCTTGTCTCTTAATTGTAATTTTTGACCCGAACGTATCTATGCCGATCTGTATTGAAATTTAACTGGAAGCGTCAAGATAAATATTGTTTGTATCTAAGTACAAGTATCGAACGTATAAACTTACTCGTTTTATATTTTTAATAGAACGAACGCACATTGAAAGCGGAGACAATCTGAACCGTTTCCGAGAAAATGGTTTTTTCTTTTCCTCTTTCGACCAAAATGTTATTTGCTGACTTACCATGAGATAAACTGGATCAGAAAAGTTCAATAATTTATGATAATAGAAAATAATAAATTCTTTGAAAATTGGTGTCATGCATCATTTCAGTAGAATCCAGTACGTTTAAATGCCAAGTCCCGTCGGCTTATTACCTCTTGCTGAATCAATAATTACCTTGTATTTGCTCCAGGAGGGAGAGTTATCGTTGTGATTGGAGGCGATGACAACTACAAGAGCGAAAGCGAAGAAAACGAGTCTTTCATCTCGCATTGGGCGAAGAGAAGAATTGCACTTCCGCAGTTTAGACAGGAGTTGATTGATGGAAGAAAAAGCTTCGTGTTTTCGTGGAACAAAAGTTCCAAAGCAATTCACGTGGAGGCTCTGGTACATTATTTCGACCCGAATGCGCAGGGAAGGAAATTTGAGCATCAAAGCCATAAAAGAAGCATACAGTCCAAACCTCAAACACCATCATTCGCAAATGTTACAGATCTGGATCCTGATCTAACATTGGCATCATCTGTGGCCAGCCTTGAGATCGGAGTTATAAGCAACAGCAGTGGA